TATATATATATATATATATATATATATATATATATATATATATATATATATATATATAGTACCTTAATTAGTATTAGAATTTGTAACGTTTATAGATTTAATACTTATTTAATTTATGATTCTGAACAGATTAGTAATTTCAAATTATTTATTCTGAATTCTGCCTCAGGTCTTATTACCACAGATATGGATCCATCTAATCCTTACTACGGCACAAACAGCAGTTCTGTGGCAGCTGCCATTCTAGTGCCCTTCTTTGCGCTTATTTTATCAGGGTTTGCCTTTTACCTCTACAAACACAGGTAAGAGCAACCAACTTTTCTGTCTTGTGTGTTGTTATTTGTCTGTAATGAATGTGAATCGCCATTGTGTCACTGCAGTGATGGGAAACTCCTTTGCCAAGCCAGTAATTGTGACTGATTTTGCATCTGCTTACAGACAGTTAGCAATTAAAATCTCTTGAAATGCCAATGAGTTCAAACCAAGGCACTGCTAAAAATGAAGCATGGGAGTTTTCCTACACAAACAAAACCATGTGACAAAGTTGTCATGAAACATGACAGTTTTCCAATATTAAAATAATAAAAAAAAATTGGCAGGGCTCTATCACAAGGCACAGATGACAATGAGAGACCCAAAGACTTGGCAGCCTCCAGGTAAGTCACCGGAAGCTAATGCCACAGGCGACGAGCCCTTTACAGCCTCACCTTCATTGTCTGCATTTTATTTTCTCATCTCGTCTGAAGCAGGACAGAGCGCAGGAATTATGGGAAATGAAGTGACTTGCATAATTTGTTGTAGTCCCATGTTAGAATGTCATTTCCGTCAACCCTAATTTGACCAACTAAAAGTAATCCCATTTATTTCTGTTTGTGTACATTTGCCACCGGAATATCATGAGAATTGTGTCTGATGTGGTGATGCGCCAGTGTCTGTAAGTCAGTGGAAATATGAATTGGGTATGGGATATAGGCCATTTATTTAGATTTAGACCGTACAATTTGAGCAAGATCATAAATCATCCACTGCCATCTGAGCAAGCCTGAGAATCAGTTGCAGTATTCAAAATTTAGACTGTCAAGAAGTCAGTGACCTTTCCAGACCTTTTTTTTTGTTTTAATTATTGGTGGAAAAAAGCAGCAAAGTTTCCAGTTGAATAAGGAGAGACATTTTTAAACTGCCATGATCAGAATAGCATACTACCATACATATACATATAGTAGAATACCTAGATTATCAACTACATTTGCCAAAATGCATTATACAACAGAGCATAATGCACTTGGAATGGTAAAACATAATGCACTCAATTTGATCTCACATTTCAGTATGCTAAATTAATTGAAAATTGACTCATTACAGTATTTGATCAGATCAGCCAAGAGTTTTACTCAAAATTGGAATAACATGTAAAATAATTTGTCATGTGACAAACACAACAACACTTGACAAAGCAGCATAATTCAAAAATGTGTACTATTTGGCGAAAAAGTAGGCAATAATTCAGCATATAGCACAGAGTATGCTAGTATTCTATAGGCATTATTGCACCATAAGTGTTTCAAGCAGTAGTATGCCACATTATCTCCTGACCTCTTTGCCAAGACCTCATCACATTACATTTGCAATTCAAGCAAGTGGCATCCTCTCATCCTCTTGGAAATAAACATTATATTGCATTTATTATTTTGCATACAGTGTTGCGTAAAAATGTCCCTAGAAGTAGAAAGTCAAGTCGACCACAATGCATAGTGAGATACAGTGTTCCATGTAATAAGGATATTTCTACAAAGGACACAAGCCATATGGACTACTTTTATAATGCTCTCATAGTGCTGTGGATAACAGCTGCTCAGACATTCTACATAATATTACAACATTTAGCATTTTATGGAAGAATGTGTAGTGTGGAACTGACATAAGTAAAATTGTAATTGCCCACATTTTAATTTTGTCATGAACTGCTTCTATGTTGTTGAATGAAAAATATTCAGTTGGTTGTGTAAGATTTTTTCTCTTGTCCTAAATTTGTAATTTAACCCGGCTAACACATTTGTCACTTCCCATTGTTAGAAGAGGACATTACGTTCTTTTGTTTTAGGTTTTATCTAACATGTCTAATGTTTATGTTGTTCTTCCATAATTGAAACTTACACTGGAATGTGTTGTAACAAATGTAAACAAATTCACAAATTTGTGTTTTGGCTTTGAAAATAGTTCCTGTTCCTCTTAACCATCTTTGTTTTTCCACCTTTCCAGAACAAGACCAAAAGTTCAGTACAACGGATATGCAGGTCACGAGAACACTAATGGACAAGCTTCATTTGAGAATCCCATGTATGATACAAACATGAAACCAACAGAGGCAAAGGCTGTGAGGTTTGATACGACCCTCAATACAGTCTGCACAGTAGTATAGCCTTTATTATCAGCTCTGGACTGACCAGCCTCATGGGTAAGCAGCAGAGCAGTGGGTACCAGACGCTAATACTCCTTTACGACTGACTGCACTTTGCTGTAGATTTTACTTTTATCACAAGCTTACAATGGACAAAATAAAACCAATGACTATGTTTTTTAGAGAAAAAACTAAATTAACAACAAAAAAAAAAACATAAAAGAAAAAATACTTTTCAAAGAACGAAGCTCACTTGACGCATGTTCGGCCAGAACTGAGGTCAACATTATTTCTGGGATCTGTACCGTACATGGCACTTAAAGGATTAAGTTTTTTTTTTGTTTTTATCTTTTTTTTTTATGTATTCCCCCCTTAAAAGACTTCCTGGGAAAGATACTGACGTGTCTTTGAACGCCACAAAGTTGTTGACGCAATGTATTTTCTTCAGTGAAGACAAACCACAAAACGAGAAAGCAACTGGACTACTGTGGCTTAGCACACTTAATAGATCTCCACCAAGAAGGTGACAAAACGCTACAAGAAGCTCAAATGAGAGACGCTCACCTCCAGATGGAGGACGGAACTCAACCGCTGTGTTGAAAAAAAGAATAAACTTTATTGCACAAATTTTGCACTAAAATGAAATGGATATGAAATCAATGTATTGGAAGAAACAAAAAATAATATACAGGGTTTTATTGACCATATGTATATAAACATAAACTCATATCCATAGAGAGCACGATGTCATGCTGCGGCTATCAAGAGAGACTGAATTTATTTTTGAAATGAAGTTCTGTTTATGTTTACAAGGTGATAAGGACACAATTGAATCATTTTTGATTGCTTTTTAAAGCATTCATCATACTTCACATCACGCACATGTTGTACTGTTCCTTCGTGGTGTGCCCAATCACTTGCTTGGACTAGCATATGCTGACAAATTACATTTCATTTTTTATGTTTGAAATCATTATAGCTTTACTCACCAATTTGCCGTATCACCAATTTGCTTTCATTACGTATCAAGTATACCTCTTGTGCAGAACATGACTGTATTTTGATGGCGCAGATTTTGAGTTCATTTATCAGCTCTGTGTGGATGACTATACAAGATTTATCTGAGCCCACAAGTTGATGCATTTTTTCCCACATTCCTCCTTTTTCTGAACCAGTGTGCATCTCCCGTGCACATTAGAAACACAAAATCAGCGGGGTTAAGATCAAGCTTACTCTCGAAGAAACACTGCCTTATTAGATTCAGAAGCATGACCGGGCCACACCGGTTCCCAATGACCCATATCATTAGTATATTAACCTAGATGAAGAGCGTAGGGCTGCTGGGGTGCACATTCACTGTGATTTAAATGTCATGACCACGCTGATTCCAGTGCATGTGCTAAAACTGTAAGTGCTCCCATTTTTCCACGTGAACAACGTGATGCCTGATGTTTTCTCAATGCTGTGTTACCATATGCACTTGCGTGCTACACATCGACAGCTTTGAGCATAAAATGTGCACAATGACATTGTAGGCTTGCTGTCGGATATCATATCATTTTCACATTGATTGTATTTTCAATCAAAACCACGTTTTGTTTCCAAAAGTGTTTCGATGTTTTCCGTTGAGTCATGCTCTCAGATTGAACCAATTCCGTGTACGTTGGATTCGCCAGGTTGGCGTAAAGAGCAGTGTCAGTTTTCTCACACTGCGGATGATCCACGTCTTGCCTTTTCTCAGGCTTGCTGCAATAATATTTCTTTGTTCAGTTGCATTTTGTACAGTTTTGTTTCCTTACAACTGTAAAATAGTTTCGCCACTGTCAAGCTGTAAAACTGCATTCAAACCAACAATCGTGCTACTCGCCATTGTCATTCGATCATGTGCTGCTGACTTGAAGTAGGTGCAAAAGATGTTTTTGTACAGAAATATATTTTTTATGCAGAATTTGTAAAATTAATAAATATGCTGTACTTTTTTGATTAATGTAGGTAAAATTGTTAAAATAAATGTTTTTACTGTATAAAAATTTAAATTAATTGTTTATCTACCCATAAGTATATATCTATGGTTTAAAATTTTCCAACAAATGTCAATATATGAGAGCTTTTATTAAATAGTCAGCTCGTATGTGTTCTTTGACATGAGCAAAATCATGAACCCTAGAGAACTGTACTGCAGATTGTTAAATGACAAATATTTTGAAAAGTAATATTTGAGATAAACATTAAACTTTTTCTAAAAGTATACACTTTCTGTTTTTTTCAGTCACAAGTGAATTTCTTGACATATACTGTATCTGACTGGAATTCACTATCATGGTATACTTGTAGGTAGGGGATGTAAATAGTTGGCTTGACAATTCAATTATGTTATGATTCTTTACTAAAAGTAATGCATCATGAAAAACAAATTTTGCCATTGAAATGTCCCTGAATTCACCCTACTGATAGGGCATACAACTGTAGAAACATACAGAGAAAATACTCATTTTATTATATAAACAAAAAATTTAATATATTGCTGAGTAGTGACCAGCACTGTGAATTGCAAAGCAAAGCATTTTTACACCCCTACTTGGAAAATAATTTGTGTCTGTTGACAAATTGATTTTTGAACATTTTGCAATAGACATTAGATACTACTTTAATTAGATAATTACTTCATTTATTTGACCATTGAGAGCTACATTCTCACTGTACCATAGCTGTACGGATAGCAGCTATGGTAACCACATGTCTATTCTGAATATCACATAATGGTAAAAGAGGCTTAGATCACATTTCACCCCCAAAATCACAATATTAACAATAGTAGGAAGTTATATTTTTTCCATAAAGAAATGAAACCTATTTTGAGATCGTTGTAATTTTCTGGACTTTTTCATTTTCAGTATGTTTAAGTAGATTCACCTCCTCAAAATCTCATTATGTAACATGTCTGGGTGTTTTACTTTTGGATTGTTTTCCCCTTCAATTTGTGTAACAAATTAGCTCAAAATGGTAATATTTTTTTAATAAATTATTATCAGTATTTGGATAAAGTAACTGGTTTAGGGGGGTTCGTGACATAATCAGGACTGACGTCCTACCAATTTGTCCAGCGAATGTTTAGTGGAAATGTCTGCAGACTATAGAAGAATATTACTCTCTTGGCCATATAGATACTAATATCCTAATACTCACCCAACATACTTTAACAGCATGTAGCTGTGATCAGCATGATTAGGTTATCCAGTTTTGAGCAAAACAATGAACAACCTCAGGTGTGATACAAACAAGACTTTATTAACTACACTAAACACTTAAACTAGTCTAACATTAACACACACTCATTCTGGTAAAGGAAGATGGTTAAAGCTGAAGCAGAGTGAATTATAAAAGCATAAAGTTATGGAAGTATTTGATATTCAGCATATCTAAAGCCTGAAGGAAACATCAGTTTCTTAGTTCTGACACACCTTTATGAAGAGGGCAAAGTGATACTTGATGTATCAGTTAAGAGGACTAAGACTAAGAACTTGGTATATATATATATATATATATATATTTCTGGCTGGTTGTTAGTTGCAGTTTGCAGGCAGTTCCCTTTCGAATGGGAACTCGTGCTGTATCCCCTAGAGGCCGCTATGGGGAATGCCTCCGGCATGACCAGTGTCTGAAGCATGACAATGAACTTGACATTGGCAAGCGGCAGCCTATGAAGTCACAACTGGTGCGGTCGAGAGTACTAAAGGGCACATGTGAAATATGTCATCCTCTTTCTTGTCTTCAGGAGACCGTTTGTTTGTACATGAATTAGAGGCATTCACATTTAGCTCCTGAGAGAGCAGAATGCGTGCATTGAAGGATTACTAAATGAAAGCTCTGTTCGTGCCATCCCTATTTTTGAGGAATGTGGGACGTGTTTTTGGGTGGAACGGGCAAGCTGGATGTGCTAGGTATAATGATTCATGAGACTGACTACAAGAGACAGGTAGGAACTTCTTCCTTTCTGCTCTCTCCTGAGGGATAGTAGTTAGCATGTGCATGAGCGCATTCAGCTCTCTTCATATTCTGTGAGGTGGTTAGTTCTCAGCAGTGATAGAAATAAACTTTTCTATTACGTGCCTTAAGGCACTCATAGAGATTCATTCGCATCTGTTCTTGTATGATTCTTTTCAGAGTGATATAATCTGTCATTTGAACTAGCCTGCTTCAGGTTAAATGTATGCTTTTCACAATGTGGTCGCAGTAATTTGTTCCACCCTGGCTTGAGTCTCTTGAGGGTTAAGCACAGGGTTTGTAGGCAGAGCACAGATGAGTCATACAGGAAATTTTCCTTTTTTGGCTCCTCTTGTTGACTCAAATAACACTATTGTTCTTTATGTGTCTATTTCTGATGAATCAGAGACAGAAAAGTGCTGTAGTTAGGTAGTGCCCTAAGTTGTTAGGCTCTCTGTGAGCCTCATGTCTTCTGTGAGCATGGTTAGACCTCCTCCTGCTTTAGAGGGTTATCTTTATTGAGGCTTTTTCTCCATAGAGCTCTGCTAGGATAGCTATTGCCAGTTGTAGGCGCTCTGTGAGCCTCCTTTGTAAATGCCTTCTTTAAAATCCATGTTTATGGTAAGAGCATGCTGTGACTGCTTCCTGCTATTCCTGAATCCATGCTTATGGTAAGGTCATGCACCAAGTGCTTTGTGACCTTTCTATCTGTGTTAGACCCCAGTTGCTCTTAACTAGAATAGGTTTGTCAAGTTAACTAGGATCTCTGTGAGCATTGTTAGGCCTCCTCTCACTTGGAAAGTGTTAACTTACAAAGGCCTCTTCTCCCAGAGTAGTAGGCTCTTTCTGAGCCTCCTTGCATAGTATCCTAAGCATGGGATATCGTTAGTGTCCTCTCAATTTAGAGAGTCGTCATGCTGGGGCCTCAGTCGTCATGCTGAGGATGTCTGTGAGCCTGCTTGCATGGTATCCTGTGTGCGGGGCATGGATAGGCCTCCTCTAGTTTTAGTGTCTTGTCATGCTGAGGCCTCCACTCCCAGAGCTTGGCCATCTACTGTGAGTGTTGTCAGGTCTCCTCTCGCTACAGATAGTTATCTTCATTGAGGCCTCAGATCACCAGAACTCCGCTAGTACAGTATCTGTGAGTTGTAGGCTTTCTGTAAGCCTCCTTACAGGATGTCCCAAGCGTGGGGTGTAGTGAGCCTCGTTTTGGGAGTCGTCATGCTGAGGCCTCCGCTCCTAGAGCTCGGCCATTTACTGCGAGCATTGTCAGACCTCCTCTCTCTACAGAGAATTATCTTCATTGAAAAGCCTCTGCTAGGACAGCATATGTGAGTTGTAGGTCTCTGTGAGCCTCATTACAAGATGTCCTGAGCATGAGGGGTAGTTAGGCCTCCTCTCGTTTTAGAGAGTTGTCATGTTGAGTTGTTGAGAAGTTTTTTTTTTTTTAAGTTGAGATGTTTTTATCTCGATGCGGCACAGACACGCCTGGAAAAAATGAACGCATCGCTCTCTATTTGCGCGTGCTTGCCACGCGTCTAAATTTGATGTAACGAACTTGAGCACGCAAAAGACGCAATATGTGAACAGCCCCTTAGGCTTCCTCTCTCCTGTTGAGGCTTCTGTTCTTGAGAAGCTCTGGTCTATAGCCGCTTTTCCACTATCAGGCCGAACGGTTCTCTTTGCTTAACTGTTCCATTCCATGCCCATCCGTGCCAGTCAGCAGGGATACGGTTTCATTTTCCACTGTGGTGCTGACAATGGAGCTCTTTGGAATGTATTGCGTCAGTCATTGCCTTGGTAACGTAAGAGTAATGTAAACAGCGATATGGACGATGATCAGACATTTCTGTTTGTGGGACTCCTTTTTTATCTGACATTTAATTTGTTAACAAATAGAAAAAAGGACACAACTTTTGACACGAAAAATAATCCTCCACAGACCAAACTGTCTCAGACATTTTGTATATTTAACAAAGTGTAGCTGCTTACTTGGCTGTTTGATCAAATAGCGTGCTTCCGGTTAGCCAGCTATGGAGAAACTGGTAGCCAGGCAACAGAGTGGCGAAGTCACGCACACACACTCTACCAGCACAGCTCAGCACGGTTGTCTAACCGTGCCGAGAATTCCGGGCCGAGAACGGTTTGTAATCGTGGAAATACAACTGGAACCGTACCTGACAGTTCTAAGAACCGTTCGGCCCAATAATGGAAAAGCGGCTTAAGATTGCATTGCTGGTGCAGGGGTGAGGACTCCTTTGAGTCTTTTACTTATCTCAGCCAATAAAGCACTCATCCCTTCAGCATGGCGGCATGGTTATACCATTCCCTATTGCACCCTTAGGTTCCCTGAGAAGGGGAACGAGACGCTGCATCTATTTGCCATGCTTCAGGAATTCCTGCACATCTCTTTCAGACAATAAGTGGATGATATATTTCACAGGTGCCTTTTATAATATCAACCACACCAGTTGTGACGTCATAGGTTGCTGCCTGCCAATGTCAAGTTCATTGTCGTGTTTAGACTCATGCTTCAGACACCGGTCATGCCGGAGGCATTCCCCATAGTGCCCTCTAGAGGACGCAGCATCTTGTTCCCCTTCTCAGGGAACCATGGCTACATGCGTAACCTGAGACATAACCTGAGACTATCCACTGGCACCTGGTTTGCTTTTTGGGTAGGGGGTATAGAGTGATGGAAGTAGAGTGATGGTACGTCAAAACCCAGAAGACTAATTCGCAACTGGTTCCACTGAGATTTTCTATGGGATTTTATAATTGGGTTTTTCAATTTATTAGTAAAATAAAGCCTGTGTTAAACAAAACTTTACGATAATTTGACGTTTTGTTCTACAAAATAAACTGCTCACAGCCTCGAAAATATCGAAGGAACTCATAACTTTCTCAGGCACTACATCCTCAATAGTAATTTATTCATGATTGCTCCATATTACTTCATCTGTATTGCAGTAATGAAGTACAACTTAAATTTAATTTATCTTTTATTTTTTTCATTAGTCAAATAAAAGTAGCACAACAAGGTACTTAAAATG